AGTAATTATTTTCTTCCGTTTGTTATTACAATATCCTCCAGCATGAGTTAGAGACCTTGTTGAATCAAGAAAATTCTTTGTATCAAAGAAAAAACCTATTTCACAATAACTCCTACTTTAGAGTTCTTGATGATTGTTGTGAATAATTTTTCAATGATGATGATGATGATGATGAGATTAACTCAGGAGAGATTTCTTGAAGTGACATTCTTGAAGAAAGACTACTTTAACTACTTACAGCAGACAATGATGAATCGAAGAGTTTTTCTTATCTATTGATTAAATCGCAGTGATTTCAATAGAGTAACTTAATCAGGCTCACAGTGATAGTACAATTGTTCGTTGTATAATAATCTATAGAATTGTTAATAGACAAGAAAAAAAAAGTACAATATTATAATTATTCAGTTTTTGATTATTTTGAAGAAAACAACACCTTCTTTCAATAGAGATGACAAATAAGATTTCTTTTTTTGTTCTGCTATTCTTAAATTTTGATCAAAAATACACCTCTTCATGAATTCATTCGAAATACTGTCTATATAGACGACTTACTAGTACGAAATCATACTGAAACAATGCTTGAATAAAAAAAAGAATCTTTTGTATTAATGTAGATTCATTTTACGTCGCATTATTTTCAAACATAGAGAATCCTCTTTTGTTTGTCAACAATATTGAGAATAATACATTGACTCCGATATATAATTTGATGAATTCAAACAGAGATAGTATCTAGATTAGATTAAAAAAAAATGTTTTCACATAAACAAAATTCTTTTTAATAAATAGGACTATCTCAAAGTTAATAAATATACTCTACTTTCCGATAGGATAAAAAATATCGAATTAGTGATTTGTTTATTTTTTATTAAATTTTGATGATCAGAATCTCAAATCAATAGGTACTTTTTAATAAGTCAGCAATATTATATCCAACAATTACATGATAAACAACAAAGTTTTCATCATTAATAATAAAATGATCGTAACTTAAGAAAAAAGATCCCTTTAGAGTTTCTATCTACATTATGAATCCTACCACCTATGTACAAAATATGTGTTCAAATCGCGTTTCTCAATTGAATAGGTTCCCTCATAAATCGAATATCTACGAGTGTCTTGCAATCAGATCGAAATCTGATCCGACATTAAACAAAATCTCACCGTTTCAAAATAATTTTACTTTTTCAAACTGCTAATTTATATAAAAGCATTGAAGTGAAAATCTATTGTACTTTGAGAATAGGTCACAGACGTGGAAAGCAATATTGTTCTACTAAAAAAGAATTCATCTAAGAATGATGATGAACTATATGACAAAGTAACTGAATATATAGAGAAGAAAATAAATTATCAAGAAGATGAACATTTATTATTATTAATCCACAATTATAACGTTTAGCACCAACAGTGCATTCCATTCCAACGTTATCAGCAACAAGCACAAACATATACTTACCGAAAGCACAAAGACACTAAGTGAATCCTGAATCACTTGTGTTTTTTTGTAATATTAGATAATCTCTTCTTTTTTTTTGTTAATGTTTATAGAAGTAACCAAATGATATACTTTTTCATATAAAATAAAAGTTTAAAAACTCTACCGTAACTGTAGATATCGATGAACTTCGGTCCAGTTGCGAAATTTAGTAAATATTCTTTTTTTTTTTAAATACATAATTAAACTTAATTTAAATTGCAAGACAGACAATTGTGTGCAAATTTATTGAATAATTCAAAAAAGAAGAGAAAAGAAGAAAAAAAAAACAAAAAGAATTTTCCATTCATCGTACTTAAAGGAAAAGAGACAATATGTGTAAATAAGTATGAGTATATATTAAACGAGAATGGTCTATATGTTATGACGATGAAGAAACAAAAAACAAAAGCACTGCGAGTAAGAAATAGACACAAAAAAAGAAAAACAGAATTGTTGCTAACTTTTATGAATATCAAAAAAAAAAAAAAAAAAAAAAAAACAAAGACAAACAAATATTTTATACAAGACAATTTGTTGTTCACTGTGTGATGAGACAAATACATAAATAATAAGAGAAAAAGAGACCAAGACAACAACAACAACAAAAAAAGAAGAAGAAAAAAGAAGAAGAAGATCATTGCTCAAGCTCATCAACAATATTGTTTAATTTAATTGATGTTCCAACTACAGATTCATCATCATTTGAAATATTTGGTGATGTTCGACATGATATTATTGTTTCATTTCCATGATTTGATGGACTATTTATCATTTGATGATGTTCAATTGATGGATCATTATTTAATGATATTAATGGTTGCATTGGTATTAAAAATGAAGATGATGGACTATGTAATGATGTTAATGTTGAATCTAATTTCAAAAAAAAAATTTTCATTTTTATTTTTTCAATAGAAATCAAATATTACTAATTGATTGATTTTCTTGTTGTATAAATGTTGTTTGTTTTTGTTGTAGATCAGTTGAAATTGATGGTGATAATGATGTTTGATCATCAGCAGTAAAATCATCTTGTTCATCCTAAAGAAAATATATTAAATTAGTTTTATATATTTTAAAGAGGACAAGAACATATAATAATCATTCTTAATTTTCCATCATTCATAATTTACCAATAAACTATGAATAGTAGAAAATTAAGGATAACTGTTAAGCACTTCTATCGTTTAATAATAACAAACCGTATTTGATGTTGATGTAAATGTCATTGTTGCTGCAGGATGTTCAGAAAGAAATCGTTGTATTGGTTGAATAGATGTTTGAGGAGTATTCGTCATTGACATCATACTAATAAACAAAAAATATATATGAAATAAAAAAAAAAAAAAATTTCTATTTTACCGAACAATCGTTTCTGGATGTTGTTCAGTTGATACAGGTGATAATTTAGGTGGATATAAAACACTTAATCGACTTTGTTTATAAACAAGAAAAGCTTGTTCTAATTCATCAAATTGTTTTCGTTCTTTACGCATAGCTGTTAATGTACGTGAATATTCTGTTTGTTGTTGACTTAAACGTGGCATTTCTTGTTCTTCTTCAGGTGTACATAAAGACTAAAATTATATTTCAAATAGAATTCACATTAGTCAAAAAATTACAAAATATTGAATTTAACAAAGAAAATTTCTTAAATGATTAATTGCTTTGAAGTCAATGCCGTGATTCTCTTTAGAAAAGCTTATTTTCAAATTTCGCCTAGAAACAGATCTTAATGAGTAAACTATTCTTGGTAAGGTCAATGTCTTTGCAAAGCTTCAAGTGTGAAATTCAAAGATGAGTTTTCCTTATGTTTCTGAGATAGACTACAGAATTGACTTAAAAAATACTGAAAAAATTCAACATTTTGGCAATAATAAGCTCATTATAATCTACATGATGCACATAATCTGAATTTTAAAGTGATAGAAAACTTTCCTCGTAAATAGTCATGCAGCAAACGTTTGAATTTTTTTTTTTTTTATTAAATTTTTAATCTTACTTGTTTTTGTTTTTTAAGTAAAATATTTCTCTTTTTTTTTATATCAGCTAAATTTGTTTCATCAGCTTTTATTCTTAAACTATTAATTTCTCGTCGTTGTTTTAACCAACGTGCATAACGTTCAAATTGTTCTTCATTTATATTAGCATCAATTTTAGTTAAATCATTATCACGTCCAACACTAACAAGACCACTCAATTCTGGTGGTGGAGATTGTTGATATAATGGATGTGTTATAGCTTGTTGAAGAAGATGAACAGCATGTGCAAGTGTTAATGGTGTTTGTTGTGCTGCAGAATTTGTTGAAGATTTTGTATTACGTTCAATTGTCCATTCATTTGTTGTTGATGATGATTGCTGTTGTTGCTGTTGTTGTTGTTGTTTATCTTTGAAATCACGTTCGAGTAAATCTTCAAGGGAAATTGATGGATCTGTGGTTGATACAGCTAAAATATTAAGAATAAGAAAAAAAATTTATTAAAAATAAAAATTATATATAAATTTTGTTTTTTAAAATCCCATTTTCCCATGTTTAATGTCATGCTCAAGCAAAAGGCAATAAAATTTATAAACTCATTAGTTGTTGCTGGTTTTTTTGGATTGGAGCAGCATGAGCAAATAGCTTTCGAGTTTTTTTTTTTTTTGGTCAATTTTCATTTTATTACTTTGAACTCACCATCGCCATTTACGGCGATTGTCATTATTGTTGAATGTGAAAATAGATCTGTTATTATTTAATGGAATCGAGGAAAAAGAAAATTGTTTTAATTTTTTTTAAACCTACCAAGAAAATGATTATCACCACTTTGTTGATGTTGATTCATTGGCCAGGCACGTTTTATTTGTATAGGTGTTTGTGATATTGTTGTTTGTTGTTGTTCATGTGGTGATGATGCTAAAATAGATGATATACGTTCAGCAACTATTTGTTGTTGTTCAGGATGTTGTACACCAGCTGTATTAATAACATTCGTTGTTGCTGGTAAAAGATCATGATGATGTTGTTGTTGTTGAGAATGATAATGTGTATATGATGGTGGACCACGCATAGCAGCTATATTTAATGTTGGTTGTTGTTGATAATTCGACCATTCATGTATTTGTTGTTGTTGTTGTTGTTGTTGAATATATGGATGATGAGTTGTAATCATATGTTGGGGTTGAATTTTAGGTTGAGTTAATGGAACTATCTGAATAGGTGTTGATGAAGGATGAGTGTTAGAAGCTACTTCTTGAGGAATCATACCGGCACCGGAAATAACATCGTTTATGACTTCATCGATTTGTTCGAGAACATGAGGTGGTACAGCTAAAATTTAGAAAATTTTTAGATTGAATTAAATCAATATTATTATATAAGGTTGGGCTTATGAATAATTCGATGATGAAATTTTTTGTCTTGGTGATAGAAGACTCGTCAACATTTTTATTCATAAGGAATCGATCGTATAGATAATATCTCATGAGGGAGCTTCTTCAGGTTTTTTCAACCGAGACAGTATTTATTTGATGAATAATAGAAAAGTCAAGAATGATTTGGTTTTTTCAACAAAAAATTATGTCACGTGAAAAATCATAAAACTCCTTTTCTTTATGAGTTATAGAACTCATAATTCTGCTTTAACTCAAACGTTCAAGATTAAGTCGGCCTCTTCGGTCTACATTTCTAAGGTAATGCATTCGCTAAAAATTTCAAATGTATTCTTTATTAAGAGGCATATTGCTCGTTCAAAATAATATATTCATTGATAATTTTCTTGTAAAGAAAAACATTGAAGAATTTTCTATTATTAAGACAATGAAATATTTAAATAAAAAAACATTCTACTTACATTGATATGGATCAGAACGAGTTTTAATTGTATTAATTGATTCATTTAATGAATCATCATGTGCTTCAGTTTTAATTTGTTGTTCATCAAATGACATTGGTTCATGTTTAACAAGTAATTGCTGTTGTTGTTGTTGTGGTGGTAGTGGTGGTGGTGGTGGTTTTTGCATTTGTATTTGTCGTTTATTAGGATCAGTTGGTGGTGATTGATGACCACCACTACTTGTTGCTAATGTTAATTGATGATGATGAACTGATGATGGAGAAAATTGTGATGGAGGTTGACCAACAATTGTTGGTGAATGTTGATGATGTATTGATTGTTGTTGAGTTGAATAAGGTGACATATGATGTTGTTGTTGTTGTTGTTGTTGTTGTTGCATAGTTATTGAATGTTGTTGAGGATTTGGTGTCATTGGATGATGATGAGGACTAAATTGAGGTGATAATTGATGTTGTTGCATATGTTGATGAGCTGGACTTTCAGGCTATTAAAAAAAAAAAAGAAATTTATATTGAATTAAATAAATTATTTTTATAATAGATTACCATTCTTTGAAATGTTTCATTTGTTCCTTGTTGTACAACAACTGTATGTTGTCCTCCTTGTCCTTGCTGTGTATATTGCACATAATGTGTTGTTTGTTGTTGTTGTTGTTGTGTTTGTTGATTAGGTGGTGATGCAAATATAAATCTTGTTGGTTGACCACCAGGTGTTCCAGTTGTCGATGATGATGGTGTACGAACAAAATTTGTTGTATCTTGTTGAGAAAATCTTGGCATAATTTGTTGTGGTCTTGGTGGTGGTATACCACGTGGTAATAATTGTTGTTTAATTTGATTTTGATTAGTTGTATATGGTGATTGTTGTTGATGATATGGAGATGTTTCATCCATAGGTGAAACATGATGATATGATGTTGTACCATCAGATGATGAAGTTGATTTACGTATTGGATTTGTATTTGTTGTTGTATTAGAATGAAGAATAGGTGTTGATTCTGTTGATGATGTTGATGTTTGATGTGTTAATATAGGACGTGGTGTTGATGGTGTATATTCAAAATAAGGTGAATTTTGAGATTGTTGTTGTTGTTGAGGTGGAAAATTAAATCGTTGTGGTGGTGGATAACTAGTTGATGTAGAAACTGGTGTATTATATCTATGAAAAAAAAAATTTGTTTTTTTTTTGAATTAAATTTTTCAAATATCACTTTATTACAGAAAGTGATTTCTGAGTCATCTTGTGTATAATAATAATAAAAATCTTACCCTTGTTGTTGTTGTTGTTGTTGTGGTCTTTGCATTTGTTGTTGCTGTGTAACATAAGGTTGATGATGAAAATTAGTAGGATTATTAGGTGTTGAAACCATTAAATTACTACTTCCAGGTGAATACATTTGTCTTGATTGTTGATAAATATGATGTTCTTGATGTTCATTTGGATGAACAACAACAGTTGTTGTTGTTGTTGGTGGTGGTAGCGGTGGTGGTGGTGGTGGTGGTGGTTCATTTGTTGTTGTTGTTGATGATGATGGTGTTGATGAACGACTTTCACTACCAGCTCCAATATCATTATTATTATTATCTTCAGGTTCACTTGATTGTTGTTTTAATGAATTTTTTCTTTTTGTATTTTTTGATATTGTTGATGTTTGACTTATTGTACTTTTTAATGCACGTCGTTTTGTTCGATTAAGACGTGCTTGTTGTGTATAATTTTGTTTAGCATCTGTTGGAACTTTACGCCAAATTTTTTTCATTTGTTTAAATCGTTCATTGAAATCTTAAGAAGAAGCAAAAAAAAGTTTAAATAAAGATAAAGATATAATAATAATAATAATAATAATAAAATAATAATCCTGGGTTTTCTTCCCTCCCTTTGACTTTACTCACACGAAGGTATATAATGAAAAACTGAAATGAATAGGTTTTAGAATAAAAGACAACAATAACAAAAAAGAAAAAAAAATATTTCATTGATTATCTCACCAGGAAATTGTTGTTTTAATTCTGGATGATTAACATTACAATAAAGAACATTTGACATTGTTGCATTTGTTCCTAATAATTCATCTTCACGTGTTCGTTCCATTAAACTAGTATGTTCACCAGTTATTGATCCTGAACGATCTTGTGTTGGTGTTGTACTAGCTGGTGTTGTTGTTGTTGAATTTGTTGGTATTAATGGCATACGTAACATTGTTTGTTGTTGAGACCAATTTTGTTGTTGTTGAGAAATCATTAATGGACTTTGTTGATGTGTATGATCATGATATCTAGAAAAATTTTATAATATAAATTCTTTCTCACATAGACTATGCTATATACAGTCTTTTATCTGAATTTTTTTTTTTTGAAGTGGGAGCAAACGAAGAATAACTTCTACTGTGGTATGAGATGGTAGTAGAGTTCGGCGGTTGCAAAAATTATCCGAAATCGAAAATCCTTGAACGCTTTTTGCGGGTCCGACTGGACCCGCATAATGTCATCTTTCGTTTTTCTAACTGTTAGAGGCTAACAAATGGAAAAGAGATCGCTCGAAAAAGAATTCCTGTTAATGTAGGAAAAAAAGAAAAATGGCATTATGTGGTCCAGTGGGACCTCGAAAGAGCGTTCGAGGATTAAATTATGTGATCTGATAATTTAACGGTTTCGATTCTGGATAATTTTTGGAATCGCCAAAGTGAAAACGGCAGATTCCATAGCCTGAGATCTTCCGTACAATTATGATTAGCTGCAGTTCTAGAGTTGCTACTTAGCCATGACGACTGAATGGTATAACGCGCTGTTTTTAAAATGTGCATTAGTATCTGACCAATTAATGATAAATTCTGTCGTGGTGTAGAACTCATCGGGTTCAAGAATTTTTGGACTTAGATCCGATCGATCAAAATTTTTGAATTTGAACTTGATTTATTAATCTTTTGTAGGAAAAGCCCATTGGGTTTATAAATTTTCGAACTAAATCTGCTTGGGTACGCGACTCATCGGACGCGCTCTCTAACGGGAAGAGAGAAGTAAATCTCATCTCTTATTCTATTAGATTTGAATAAACATACTCTTGTTTAACAATAAGACCCGTATTTTGAATATTTGTTTGTGTTAAAATTGAAGGTGTTGTTGTTGTATGTAAACCAGTTGATTCCATCATTTCTCTTGCTAAATTATTAATAATTTGTTTTGAATTATCATTAACATTAGTTGCCATAACAACAAGATTTGATGTAGGTGTTGCTAATGGTACTTGAGAATTTATTGGATGATGAGATGATGATGTTAATGTTGATGTTGATGTTGATGTTATCAATGTTGTTTGATGAGATTGTATAACTTGAATAGAATTATTTGGATTTGTTATAGAAGAATTTTGATTCGTTGGATTTGAATTATTAAGAAGATCGACAGCTAAATAAAAATAAAAATTATTTTTTTTAGAAATTTTATTTTGTATTATACCTTGTAAATCATTATGTGTTTCAGGATGTTCAATAAATTCAAGAAAATCTTCAATATCAGTTGGACCACCTAGATATATATTAGAAAAAAAAAAAAAGAAAATAATTTATATTTAATAATTTAATTAATAATATACAAATTGGTAACATTGGATCTTGTGTTGTTTTTGAACTATTCATCATATATTCAACAAAATTACAAAATTCTTCATTATCTAAAATAGCTTCTAAAAAAGAAAAACTTTTATTATTTTAAATATAAAGAAATTCTATTTCATACGCATATCATTTTCCTCATCAGTTCCTGTTATAGTTGGTAATTGAAGAGAACTTGATGGAGTTGGTACAGGTACAATTGGTGGTGGTTGTTGTCGTTGTTCTTCTTTAACAGCTAAAGCTAATTTTGTTGCTTTCTTTATTAAAAATCTATTAACTGTATCATGATCTAATTTAATTGTATATTCATTATTATTATTATTTATTGTTGTTTGTTCATTTAATTGTAATGGTATAATAGGTATATGATTTTGTGCCATAAGACGACTTTTTTCTGCAAGATCACTACCAAAAAAAGCTTCTTGCATTTCCGGTGGCATATATTCTTCAAGAACACTTTTCTTTTTTAATGGTCGACGATCACGTTTACGTTTATTTGTTGATAATGTTTCATCATGAATATTATCATCTTGAATAAGATCTGTAGGATCTTGTCGACGACGTTGTCCACGAACTTTAACATGAAAACCACCAATACCTAATTTTATTTAAATAAAAAAATAATATATATATTTTTTTTTTGTTATCATCATCTTCTTACCAGTATAACCTTTAGCTGCTCTTGCAATTGGTACTGTAGCAGTTGTTTTTTTTGTTCCTTCATCATCACTTGTGCCACTTCCACCACCACCACCACCACCACCACTGGTTGTACTATTACCTATTATATCATCATCTTGTATTGAATTTGAATTATTTCGTTTAACACCACCCATAATATAATTTGCTAAACCACCACGTTTAGATTTTGTATTTGTTGTTAATGATGTTCCAGCTGCTGTTGCTGCTTTTTTTGGTAATGGTTTAACACGTATTGATTTTAATTGTGCTAAACCAGTATCAGTTAAATAAACTCCTTCATCTAATTTAGTTGCTTTTGGTGTTGGTAATTGTGGTTGTAATGGTATTGTTGTTGCTGTTGTTGGTGTTGTTGTTGTTGTTGTTGTTGAATTTGTTGTAACAACTAATAATGGTGCTTGATCTGATGGTGATGAAGATTTTGGTGATAATGATGATGATGATGATGGAAGTATTTCATTTGTTGATGTTAATATTGCTGTTGGTCGACATAATGAACAAATAAAATCACCTGTTGTTGATAATGTTGAATCTTCTGATAGAATATGTTCACATGAACCATGTAACCAACGATCACATAATGTACATTGAACAATAAGTTCATCAGTTCGATAAGATTTCGTACAAACAGGACAAATAACAAGTGAATGACATGGTGCACATTCTGTATAATTATTTTCCCATAAACAACATGAACCAGCCGGACCTGGATTTGTTGAACCACATTTAAGACAACGAACACACCTAGAATAGTCAAGAGTCATTTATCTATATCTCATTATGAATAAATTTGAGATTTGGACACTTATATCATACAGAGAGAGATGTCAATGAATACTCATTCTAGTTAAAATTTCTCACTCAGACGATCTTTTGGAAAGAACACCTATCTACACGGTTGGAAAAAATATTATTCCAGGGGGGTAACGCTATAATTT